TCCCATCCCATAAGGTAAGTGTCATTACGGCACGCATCATTCGTGTGAGGAGGATATTAAACCTACCCGGTATATATCCTCAATCATGTATATTCTAAACCAATTCACCAAAGAGATGGCATTATTCTACGAACTTAACGAAATACTGCGCAAGTAATCGAATCTATTATTGTTCCAGTAATTTTACACCAAACTAGATATAAATTCATATTGTATATAGGTCTTGATGAATGTATTTAAAAAAATGTGAGGGTTTATTTTGTGAAATTGGTACACACATTGGCGCTCGAAAAGTTAATGCCCCCATGTTACATTTCGTAATCCCACATGGAAGTTTGTCAACTTGCATTTCATAACCTCGCATAACAGTCCCCCCAACTTATATTTGATAGACTCGCATAGAAGTCCCTTCAATTTACATTTCATAAACTCTGAGAGAGGTTCCCCCAACTTACATTTCATAACCTCGCATAAAAGTCCTCTCAACTCATACCCTCACATCGAAGTCCCCTCAGGTGTCATTCATAACCTCACATAGAAGTCCCATTGACTTATATTTTATAGATTCGCATAAAAGTCTCTTCAACTAACAATTCATACCCTCCAAAAGAAGTCCCCTTAACTTTCATTCATAACCTCGCATATAAGTCTAAATTACAAAACCAACTATTCGAGCATCGAGCTGAGCAATTATACTACATGGGAACTACATTGAATTGATTTTGTTTCAATAATAATAATAATAATAATAATAATAATAATAATAATAATAATAATAATAATAATAATAATAATAATTTTCAGGCAATTTACTGGATGGAACCATGACTCCAACCTACTTAAAAATATTAAAAACAGCAAAATTCCTTGGAGATAGCAAAATACACAATAAAGCAAATAAAAAAATTACTTTCATTCATATAGTTTATACTATTCTTTACAGCAGCAAGAAGTATCTGATTACATGGCTGACATCACTGAGGGTGATAACCTTCCAGGTACAACAGAAACCCGTTCTGAAAATTGCGACTTTTTACAAATAAACAACATATCGGCATATAAGAAATATATTATACCGGTGTGGAACGTGTCGTACGCAGAGCCATCAGCCATGCACACGTTATGGAGAATTGCTGTTAAATTTGCCGTATTTCAACATAGGACCTTTGTGATAAGACCTTTTATAGACTACAACACGTTAGAACCACGAAACGTGGATACAACATTTGATTTAGAAAAGTTGAAGGAAATACTACCAGTGGCGAGCGAAAAAGACTTTATCTCACTTTGTGGAAATACTCTGACTGCCAACAACGTGTTTATACCGCCTTCAATCGATGCGAACTCCAAAGAAACGATTTACCAATTATACCAGAATATGGCTGAGTGGAAGGTCTTATTTCAGGCGTTCACGGCCAGGAGTGCTCTTAATAACATACCGGAAGTTACGTCAGAACTTGATACAGTCATTACGTCATTTGGGAATAGCGCCACAAACGACTATCATAATTCTAAAAATGAAAAGTGTATTGCGCTGTTTCCAACTGATGATTTAGTGCTACCGTGCAACGACAAGATCAATACTAGAGTGGAACAGTACCTGGTACGCGCTCCTTATATTCGGCAAATAGCGGAGCGATTTATATCTATCGTATGTGGAGGGAATTTTGCTGTGATACATTTACATCTTAAAAGCCGAGAAAGGTGAAATATTTTGTTTACATTGAAACCTGTAATACGGGCCCTCTAGCGACAAAGCATACACGTAATTTACAAATGACGTATATGTATAGGTGTAAGCAATATATGTTGTTTAGTTGCTCATTATTTACAATATACATATATAGCATCAACACACAACGGAAGTTACGGAGTGGTCTAAATCTAAATGACATGCAGTCATCATGGTTTATAACTGTTGTTTTTTCGGCGTTGTAGATTACTTTTATATTTCTATGCCCTCTCCTCCATCAGTAAGTTGTCGACTGAGTTGTTAAGATAAAAATATCGGAGCACTGTGATAATCCCGCCAGAGGGCGCACTTTACAAATCGTTGCCAGGCAATACACATGCCACCACATTTCATCTCTGACGTCACTTCTATTGAATGCGCAGGTGTCACAGGGACGTAGACTGCATTGTGGGGAAGAAGAGAGAAGTTGAAGACCTGTGTAACGCTGCCAATAATATATCTGAAACGATTGAGCACACCTTACGAAATAATAAGTTAAATTGTATTTATGTAGCAGCGCCACCGTCATATAAACAGGTATTTTACGTTCACAACGAATCAAGTATACGTCTCTTTTTATTGGGAGATGTCTATATAAGATTCTTCTTAGATCACATCCGGCGGATTACTATCTATACAAAACGTTTTTTCAAACACAACGTTTTGTGAATTCGTCCGATTATATTTCATCATATAAGGAATGCGAGTTTAATTCGTGGCCATGAACCCCTGATTATATATTTAACCTTTCTTCAACACCAATCTGCTTTGTGAAATCAAATTGTGGGATTGATCGCGTCAGGTGGGACCCACGAAGCTACTGGCATTTCCACTCACTTCCCACTTTATTTACATAATTTATGTAAAAGTTATTCTCCCGATGTTCTGATTTATTTTTTCATATAAATGTCGCCCAAAATCGCATCAGTATGCTTCGCGCTAATACTCACATATACCAAGACCTAACGTATGATCACACTGATTGATAATGACTGTTCAAATCGTTTCAGAAATTCGCAGATCAACTAAAACTTGGTACTCTGCAAGTATTTGCATTCACGCACATATTCGAAATGGTCCCAGAGTCTACAAAATACCAGGATGACGATTACATCATATCGTTAATAGAACAAGAAATAGCTGAACGTAAGTACATCAAGAGACAGTCAGTTCATAGCACAGTCTAATCACCGCACGTTCACGATAATGTACATTTGTAATTTGGCGTAGTGACGCTTAGTCACATCAATCGATGGATTCATGTCTAAAGCACACCAATGACGTCTATATTTCACTGAATCATCATGTATAATCTTATTTTCATAGGAATTCCTCTTTTCATCAGTTCAAGACAATCAAGTTGGTCGTTTTATGTTGAATACACTCGCACAATTCGGAAAATGAAAACTGTGGCTATAGAAGAATTAGCATAAGTATCAGATGATATGGTGACCATTGTTACAGTGTGTCACACTGGATCATCAAATTTACAACGCGCGTTAAATAAATATTTCGCAAATCTATTATTGTATTTTGGAACAATACTTTATATTGAACTAATACATGTTTCATTGTACATGTTAAAATAAAACTATTTTACTTTCACTCAGACTGGTGATATGTTTGTTGCTATTGACAACAATTCAGTCCTTTGCAATGCTTCAGTCAATATTTGTCTTCACTGCCTACCCATCTCCTCGTCGGGCGCTACGTATATAAGGTGGATTTAACCCACCAAATCAGCACAGATAGTAGGGCAATTGTCACATTTAGTGCTCCAAGAAAATATTCTCTGTCCATGTGTATTTATATTTATATACGTAGATGCAGTTTCCTTTGCTTGAATCAAATTCACTGGCTTCATACATACAGGTATACTGGTTTACCTGTTTCTAGTTGAAAATTATGCGATCTTATTACCTAAGACAGTTGCCACATGTCACAACACTAATTTCCAAGTGCCACAGCTTGAAACAAGTAATCAAATCTGATATTGACTGGAGCTTTTGTTTATATGTAAATGATCATGGTGAATTGCAAACTGGGTGGCCAGACAGTAATAAAAATAAGCACCAACTTACTTCTCCCACCCCACTATGAATTATATGGCCACTTTTGATGGTTTCATGTTTCTTATGGATAACAATTTGTATTTTAAACTTATATGCTCTTGTACCCAATCGTGGGGATTCATCATACTAAACAACAGGTGTCAATTTCACTACGAATATTGTACTTCATTTTCATTAAAACTACTGATATATATATATATGCTAGTATCTATAGATGATATGGACGGTGGTCAGAAAGAGAATTCCTACTAAGATTAGTTTAGTCTTCATGGATTGGGTACAGATTTGCGACCCGAGGTCGAGCGATGCCAGAGCTTGCGAGTCGAGTGATGCCAGAGCTCGCGAGAGTGCATAGGCCGTGTGACCGTGGGCAACAAAAGCCGTATGCAGTCCATAAAGATGTTCTTATATACCTTGTATGAAAAACAAATCTTTAGTTACTGTACTATTCCCTTGTCTTGCCCCATCCCACATTACTTTTCGAGTTCACGTGGGTTTCAATATAAGGGCCGTTTAGTGGCGCATTGTACATGACGCAAACACGTCACCTCAAACAAGTCGCACACAAAACACAAACGAATGAAACGGCAGGAAACGTAAATCAACAACAATATTTTAACGGTAATAAATGAGAAACAACTGTTTAGAAGGAAGCAGATTATTGGTGTTTAGTTCCAGATTTGGGCGTAGCTCGGCTAAAAATATCCGAAATGCGCCGATGATCCATGGAGACAGTACAGTAGTGTTGTAAATATGCTCTCTATAAATTCCAGCTGGTTCACTTGAACTGTCGGGAAATAATATTCCTTTTGTTTGATTCAATTGATAATTGACAAACTTCAAACAGACATTTTTAGAATGTAAACTAGTACACGGTGCATATTAGACTTGTAATTGCAGAAGGCAAGTCATCGGTCAATGCCATACATATATGAACTATACGAATACAATTAATAAACCCTTGCGAAGTATTGGTGGCAACATTAACTATATTCTAGTAATAATTGTGAAAATATGCAACAAACAAACTAATTTGACCAGCATTAACTAAATTAAGAGAGCGTATATAATATATTACTATTATTCGTTGTGAAATTTGCATACTATGAATACGTTGCTGCCGGCTGACGCTAAACTAACTCTGAATAACCTCATACATTTTAAGATATGTGCATAACGTTGGACGTATCCAGAGTGAGTATAGTGCTTTTCAGTGTGGTCGATCGTTAATTACATAAATTATGATTTCTCATTTCAACATTAGGTGGTTATAATCCCACGTAACAAGAAGAGACTCATCGTTTCTCTCTATTCGCCATTATTGTCATATCACTCTATTTTGTCAAATCATTGAATGTAAACGAACCGGATTACTGGTGTGCCAGCCCGATACTAGTTGTTTCATTTACATAAATGTTTAAATCTGCTGTTGATGGTGATGATAACTACAGGTTTACAGAACAGGAAAGGTACCGTTCATTTATTGTGTTTGTAGTTAATTTGATATAAAATACACTTTTACGCTATTTTCGATGCTGGTTCGTTATCATATCCCCGATGTTATAGTATTATTCTGCTAATTTTGCGGGGGCTGGTGACAGGTGGTGACCCGATTGCAATTACGCTTAAACGGCGTATATGTCAGCGACTCAAAATGTGGCTAAGTGCGGTACTTTTCTACTTTAGAGTATTTTAGACATTTTGCGCCACATGTGATGTAAACATGTTATTCAAATTAACAAACATTTTTTTACGTGATATTATGATCCGTAATCAAAGCACCACGTCACGGTATGCGATGCTGGCGGATAGTTTCTGTTACCTATGTGTGTCAGATATATTGTACTGGATTTATAAATCACTCGAGGTAATTATATGGAATACAGCAGTATGAATTGTGTTTTGTTAAGTGAATATAAATTTAGTATTGTAATAAATGTATACCATTATTAGTATATTCAATTGAACCTGATTTGACCGTGGATTCATGTAAATTTAAAATGGCATGCACAAGTCGAATTTAAAACGACGATAAGCATTGTTATCATGATAATGACCTGAAACAGAACGATGTTAAATATACTAAAGATGCATTTCTTATTCACAGGTTTTAATGTGTAATTTGTGTGTATCAAGTTAAAGACCAATACACTGTTAATCAAAACGAACATGAATTGAAACGATTAGTATATCTATCTTATAAATGCCAAACAACACAGTAGTCACATATTAGCTAACCATTGTATTAATCTGGTTGATATAGTTAAATATTAATGTTAGTCAGTTGTTTCAAAAGCCGTTTGGCTTTCAGTGCAATTATATTTAAAAAATGCAAAAACTTTAAAACATAATATGCGACCTATCCAACGCATAGTGGCTTGTGTTTACGGTTCAATCGAGTTCAGCATTGCAATAAGTAAATAAGAAAGCTGGGATATGTGTTGACATAGATTGATGATTACATGATATTGTGTACACGTGAATCATATTTTATCCATTTCAGAATGCCACACGGCGATTTAACATCCAATCAGTTGAGATGTCTATATTTGTGTATACCCTTAACAAGTATAGTTACCTATATCATTACAATGAATATTCAGCTCGGAGTCCAGGATCCATTTCAGTGTGCAGTCCAAAATCAACAAGTGAGTATAAACTAGCATGCATAGCGACTGAGTATCCAGGCAATGACCAAAATAGCCCAGACATCGTGGCAATTATTTCAAATCATTACATTGATACATTTTTAGTGCTAACATTTAAAAATGGCCGTGCCCTACGATAATACTGGTTAAAAACTGAAATAAATAAACAACAACATCACTGTATTCTCTGATGTTTAAAGTTTACTCGAAGAAAGCCGTATTATAACATTTTAAAACATTTTTCCTCGACGCCGACTATTCCGAATTCGAAAAGAATCACAATGTGAATTGAAAACCATAACTGTTGTCATGGCATTAAAATTTGATGTTGGTAGAAGCTCTGATTGCTTATTGGCCGCTGGTTACCAGTGTACACGCATCTAACGACGTCTCATCGACTACCAACTATGGTGTGTAACACGAGTTCTGATTGGCTCCTGATCCGACGAGACGAGAACACAATATTAAAAGCGACCGGTACCTCAAATTTACATCAAATTTTACTTGGATTGATTTCATAACAGCAAAATTTGCAATTTTTAAGTAAATTTGTTTGACTATGAAATTACTTATAGAAGAATCATAAATAAGATGCACAGGAACAAAAATGGTGCCCAAATACACAGAAACATTTTTTTATAATCCCTTTTTTTCTAAGACAGCATAATAATATGCAAAAATAAAAAAATATTTATTTATCCATAGTACTGAAATGAGGAATTTCAACAATGACATCAAATATTCGTTTTGCATAGTATAGACTTGCCATATCTGCAACACTAATTAATATATAATATAATTAATAATAATTAGGGAGAGAATCTCACGAAACAGATTTGTACACTGAAATAAATATTGCTAAGAAAAAAATAAACATATTTACGATAACTTCAGCATGATTAGCCAAAAGCTCCAAACCTTACTTGAGGTTACGTCAGCCTACGCATACAAAGATGTTCCCGAATTAAGTACACGTAGGCTACGAAAACGCCAATCCGACTTGAGATTACGCCAGTCGAGGTACAAATGCTAATAGGAAAAGTTGTGATCTAAATTAGCTTATGAATGGAATAATTTTACAAATGGAAATATATTTAACACAATTCAACATAATACCACAGTTTCTCGAGAGGGAATGTGATAATACTAACATTAAACAACACCGATCTTTCAAAACACATTGACATAGAGGTCAATCCTAGCAGGTTTACCACGGTTAAAATAAGACATGGTCTTTAGATAACTTGTCTGATGAACACAATTATAATATACGTTCTTTCGCTTGTATTTATGTCAGATTGATGTCAGCAAATCGTCGTATAATAACTATGATGCTGTAGAGAACCTAATTAAAAGTTGCGACTTTCTGCGAACAAACAACAGGTCTATTGCGACAGATAGATACCTTATAATTGTCTGGAATGTGCCATCTGCCGGACCGTCAACCATGTATAATCTATGGAGAATCGCCGTGAAATTTGCCGTATTTCAACAGAGGACCCTTTTCATAAGACCCTTCAACGTCCATAAAACCCACAAGCCACGCGACGCTGATACGACTTTTGATTCGGAGAAGTTACGAGAAATGCTGCCAATTGCTGATGAAACAGATTACATCTCACATTGTGGAAACACTTTAGAAGCAAATAACGTGTTTATACCGCCCACAATCGCCATGGAAACAAAGGAAGTGATGTTCCAAAAGTATGAACAACTGATTGGATGGAAAGCTGTTTTCCAGGCATTTGCTGCCACACGTATACTCAACAGCATTCCGGGTGTCACGACAGAACTGAATACAATCATAACCTCATTTGGGAACAGTGCCAGCAACGACTATTACAGTTCACGAAATGAAAAGTGCCTTGCTTTATTTGCAACCGATGACGTAAATCTGCCGTGTAACGACGAAATAAACGAATTGGTGGATAAGCACCTTGTGCGCGCTCCGTACATACGTCGCATGGCAGAAGAATTCATTCCAAAAGTTTGTGAAGGGGAATTTGCTGTGATACATTGGCGAAACAAAAGTGG